AATTAATTATTTTCATCTCCTTCATATGGTTACTTATCAAACCAAGCCTCGTGGGGACACATGATATATTTCAACTAGACAATAAAAAGCAGCACGTAATTACACAACTCCTTGGAGTAACAGGTTTGTATCCTTGAAAATTCTCCAGAAAGTGTTCTAACTGTGAATCACTTCAACTATTACATTGCTGTCAGTTCAGACAAATGATGCATGCAAATATGTGCCTATGTAAGCAAACAGTGTGTTTATAATGCAACAGTTTAATTACATCATCAAGTAATTAGAATGTGCAGTTATGTTATGTAAGACTCACCCTCCTCCTTCTACTACTGAATGAACTGCTACGTACTGGGGGAAGATTAATCTTTATTAATGACATTTGAGCTGGGGGTTTCTGAACATGAAAAACAAAAGAAATGTTTAAAAATATAAGATTTTCCTAGACAAGCGACTTCTGCTATATATAATGCTTTCCACACAACAAGACATTATTTTCCTAGTTGTTTTAAAAAATAAATTAAAGCTTGAGAGTGTAAAGCAGAAAACTGCTAGATCACTAAAGGCGAGATACACATTTAGTGACAAGGAGATGAAGATACTACTGAATTCAGAAATTTAGGTTTTTCATTATTTATATAAAGAACTCTTTATCAAAACTCTGCTTTATACCTATCATCTAAGAATATCAGATTAAAAGATTCGTAACATTTCAGAATTCCTAACAATTATTTTCACATTATTCCAGTCCATGCAACTGCATAAAGAACAACACGAAGAACATAGATTTAAGTCTGTATCATAGAATCATAGAATGTATTGGGCTGGAAGGGACAACCAACGGCCATCTAGTCCAACCCCCCTACAATAAGCAGAGACATCTCTAACTAGGTCAGGTTGCTCAGAGCCCCATCAAGCCTGACCTTGAATGTCTCCAGAGATGGGGCTTCCAATACCTCTCTGGGCAGCCTGTTCCAGTGATCCACCACCCTCATATTAGAGAACTTTTTCCTAATGTCCAACTTAAATCTACCCTTTTCCAGCATAAAACCATTACCCCTCATCCTATCGCTACAAACCCTTGTGAACAGTTCTTCCCCTGCCTTCCTATAGGCCCCTTTCAGGTATTGGAAGGCTGCTATAAGGTCTCCCCAGAGCCTTCTCTTCTCCAGTCTGAACAACCCCAATTCTCTCAGCCTGTCCTCATAGGGGAAGTGCTCCAGCCCCCTGATCATCTTCATGGCCCTCCTCCTGATCCACTTGAGCAGATCCATGTCTTTCTTATGCTGGGCACCCCAGAGATGAACACAGCACTCCAGCTGGGGTCTCATGAGAGTGGAGCAGAGGGGAAGAATCACCTCCCTTGACCTGGTGGCCATGCTTCTTTTGATGCAGCCCAGAATGCAATGTCACATTTAACCATAACTTCTATGAACTCTATAAACCTAGGTAATCAAAGTTTCTTTCAAAGGACTCATGAGACAGTGGTCTTTAAACAGAAGCTACCATTTTGTTTTTCTTCCTAGGATCTGGATTCAGCCTGGCTGAGTGGAAAAAAAAAAAAAAAAAAAAAAGACTTCATGTGGGGAAAAAAATAAGTCAATTTGAAAACTGTAATCCTGGGTGAAAGTATTTAGGATCTTGTCTATGCTATGGCTTGTAGTTATACTACATATACTGGATGTTAAAAAATATGTTAAGGATATAGACTGTATTTGAATATGTCTGGTTATATACATGTACAATTTACACAGGAAATTTGCACCACTACCAGGAAACTGTGCCTATTTGGACAGAAAGTTTTTGCAATGAAGACTACTGATATGGAGCACTGTGTTACGACTATTGCAAATATTACCCACCTTAATGAATTAATTAATTTTACAGCTAAGCACTCTCAAGACAATTATATAAATTTACCTTTTTTTTTGCTTTTGAATAATTGGGTTATGTAATTCAAATTATTTATTTTCTAGCGAAGTTTTATATAAGAAGAACCGTAGCAGAGTATTTGACTTTGTGAACTGTAGAAAAGTTCGTAAACATGGATGTGGCTTTTTATTTATAGCTGACCTCAGCGCCAGAGAAGGAACAAGGACACATTTAGCTTGCTAGTGTACCTGTAACCATAGCGTCCACTAATTTATTCCCATACATTGTTTCCAACTGACTTTTCCTGGCATTGTCCATTCACTTCATATAAAACTCACAACACATCATCAGAAAAATCTATCAGGTACTAGTGGAGAAACAGACATTTATATAAGCTTGTGTTTTCACCTGCACATGTCGCTCCAGTAATGGTGAATTGCTACAAAAGCACCTTTTATTGTTTGAGAATAATGTAAAGTTTCCAGAAAAACCTACGGTCACTACAACAGTTTCACAGATGTTACTACATTGTGTTACTGAGTAAACAAATGCACTGCTTGGTTCAAATAATTTACAGTTAACTTTCCTGAATCTAAAACATTTGCTGTTACTGAAATCTCTGTTCTAATAAGAGAAACAACTAAAAATGATGGTCTACTTACTAAGAACATACAACAGTAATAAGATGCATGCTTTTAAATTAATTGTAGTTAATGACTACGTCTCAAATCTGTGATAATTTAATGATATGGAAGAAGATGCAAATCTTGAATGGCCACTTTACTGTAGCTCTTAAAAAAATTACAGAAAAAAAAAAAAAGTCTTTCACAGTTACAAATTTGGGGGAAAAAAAAAAAAAAGCAGCCCCCCATTCTGTTAGTTTAAACAGAACATTCCTTATTCCGGTAGAAATAAGGAACTGCTTTTCTTCTACTTGAGGAAGGAAAAAAAAAATAAAAGTGACCAGCTTTTAGAAAGATATCCCTTATGCTCGCTTCAGGAGGAGGGCATTTGAAAATCTACTTGTACTTGTTATATTATGCAACTTCTTTTGGAGGCTTAAAAACGATGTGAAGAGGCTGACACAAACAGTGATAGGCCCAGGTCAATCTACATAGAGACAGATCAGCACACAGAGGCAAATGAAAAAAGCCCACAACAAACCACACTATCAAAATATTTCCTCCTGCAATCATCAACTCTAACTAAAGTCCAAAATTGTTGTGCTCTTGGTGGACAGGTATGTATGAATCTTTTAGGAGCAAAAGACAACATAACAAACACTTTTTTGCCTCTGCATACTAATGTTTCTTCAGATGTAAGAGTAATTTCCCTTGTACAGCCAAGATTAATGAACAGAACAATATTTGCTTTTTGGAAGTGAAATAAATAGAGACTCTACAACAGTTTTTACCCTTCCTGCATTATAAGTCCCAATATTCAAATACCAAAAAGTTGGAAAGAAGAACTGAAAATTTTATCTTATTTTATCTCAGCTGAATCACGGAAAAATCTTTAGAAGAAAGCTTACAGTTCAAAGCAATTGTTCACGTGATGGATATTTTCTATGTACTTCATTAATTATTTATGGAGGGATGGACTTGTATGCATTTATTTTTCCTTTCATCTATAGCTCTAGATGTTTCTTATGTGGAATTAAAAAAACCCAAGAAACTGGTTGGAAAGATAAACAGGTCTACAAAGCTCCATTACAGTTAAAAATGAAACATTTGACTTAAATTTTTAGGTATCCCCGTTTTGTTAAATAATCAATTTTTCTATTATCTCACAAAAAATAACTTCAGCAATTTCTTGATCATTCCATTGTTTTAGTACCATTACATCCAAACCCCTAGTCTAGAGAATAAAAAGATCCACTATATTGAAAATTAACCAGTCAGTCTAGAACTATCTTCCATTCAAACCTGCTCTCCAGGATAATGCAACTGAATTCACAAACACATGAGGTCTTAAGGTATATTACTATCAAATCAAATTAGCATAAGGACAGATCACTACTGAAAACGTGGTTCAGACTTCACTTTTGCCCAGCAACAACTTTGATTTCAGAGTATAACGTAAAGGAGTTTAGCAGTATTTCAGTCAAAGAGTTAAAACTGTTTATTAATACAGTATTGCCAAAAGAGGGTAGCAGTATTTCCATCCAACGTCCTTAGTCAACATAATCACTTATAACCGAAGTTTTTCATAGTATGCTTTTCATAAATAAATTAAGGCATAGAGCCATCAGTGTCTGGAATTTCCAGTTTTCAACTTTCTGTCAACACGAAAATCATATACTATCAAGGAACATCAGAAGAAAGGGCCCTGCCTTCCAAACAGCCAAGAAACCCCATATTTAAGAAATCGAAGACCTCACACAGACATATCTGTGTGTACCTCTCAACAACTGTAGTGAAGAAAGCACAATGAAGGCGTAACAACATATTTCAACAGCACCATCTCAATTATTTTTAGTTCTCCTCAAGATTCTCTGAAACACCAAACACAACATTCTCCCTTTTTTGATTTTTTTTTGTTTTCTGAGGAAAACAACTGTCTGAAAATTGTCCAGCCACTAACTATAAACATTTTAATGAATACCTCTTTTTATTATCACAACTGAACATGTTGATAATAATCAGCCAAATACCAAATTAACATTTTTCATGTATTTGAAAGTAATGGAGGAAAACTAATTCAGTTAAGCTACAGAGAATAAACTTGATGCAATTTATATAACTTCTATAAATATCAGAAATGCTTAATATACTCTCATGTCCGTCAAGTGCTCAATTCAATACTGTAGCTTGACAAAGTAATTCATTTTTATGGGATTAAAAAAAAAAATAATCTAAAAGCCCATTTCAGCAGTTTCCTTTCTGTCCATTTCAAAGTTGTACTTCAAGACACTTTTTTCAAATGTGTTATATGCTGAAAGATGTCAGACAGAATCATGATGTGACTCATGTTAGATCCCTGCTACAATTTCCAAAGTAAGACTTAAAGGTTAGTAGTAGAACCAGTTCTCTTTTAAAAAGCAATTTCATTTTGTTGAGTAGCTGCACACTGGAAAAAGCCCCAGCACTCTGGATACCTGACATATCTCTAAACTAAAACACTTGACTTACCTGCCACTGTTTCATGAGGTCCCGAACCATTTTGGCGTCCTCTAGTATCTTTTCTTTGTGTGTAGCATCCTGCAGGACATTCGCAGTTGTTTCAGCTTCTGTAAGCCAAGCAAGGAACTTTTCAAGATCCAGGTAGAATTGCTGCAACATTCTTAGAGCTGATTCCAGTGCAGCTTCACGCTCACAAACCCTGCGCAAGTACAAACAGTCAAATGCAGAACTCTTCGGAAGAAAACAAAACTTAATCATTAAACCAAAATACAGCAAAGACGCTGTGTATTTTTCAGGTACCAATCAAGGTAAGTTTGCAGATACATTAGCTACAGAACTGGCACTGTATATTTGGCAGGTAGGGTTCCTTTTTTATCTTCTCTCATGAGAAACAGTAACTGGAATTCATCTGGCAAAAAGTTAAGCAAAAGTACTTCTTTGTAAGTGCTATGCCTGAAAGGCGCACAGTTGGGGAAAAAAAAAAAAAAAGCAGAATTTCATGATTTGCTTTAATCAAAGATTGTTTCCTTATTTTCTCATTATCACTACAGTGGGAAAACTTGTTTAGTTTTAGAAATCATGAAATAGTTCCTGGCCACTGCACAGTACGATGAATTTAATTATTAGGTTTTATGACTTGAAACCTTTGGAGATTGCGTTCAACACCTTAAACCCTAACAACACTGATGTTTGGAGGTTTTCTTTTTTTGTTTGTTTTGTTTGGGGTTTTTTAATATGAATGTGAAAAATTAGAAGAATGATCTCCATCAGTGACACGATAAAATTCAGTTTTTATATACAAAGGCTATCTTATCATTGGGGAAGATCTAAATCATGTATTGTGAAAGAACACTAAAGGCTCCAGCAATTCTGGCACTGAAAAATATTAAAGTATATCTGTGTTCTATTAGCTTTCACGTGCAATGTAGGTGTTACATGCACTCATTGATTTTTTTGCACTTGAGCTGAATATGGATTTAGAAATGTGCACACAAAAATATGACATACTGTTCATTAACACGAGTCTATGAAGGCAACTTAGCTATTGTATTACATGCATATTTGCTTAACATCAGCACGGTAACTAATTTTTTAAGCTCAGAAAATACATATTAAAGTCGTTTGATAATTTGTGTTACTTCCAGTGGAATGAATGCAATTTTATGCACACCTATGTTCAGCCTACGAATCTGTGGTGGTCTGGATATTTCTAGATAGTTTCCTTTCTAGTTTTATGGTTATTTAGACAAAGACTGAGATACTACATTTTAGCAGATATAAATTCACAAGTTGTAATTTATTGTAACTTTACTGGAGAAATTAAATTTCTAAGTGCTAATCTCTATTTCAAATCCTGTTTGCTGTCATGAATAGGTTGTACTCCTCCTTAAGTAACGATATCATCCTAAAACTTAGTACGCTACTTAAAGTAAGAAAAGAAACAAAAAATTAACACAAGTTTTGCCAAGTGGCACTGACTTTACTTATATGCTTGTCGAAAAATATGTGAATTGCAGCAGAGGGTAGTAAGAACAGAAAAATCCAGAGTACAGGTGAAGATAATAACCATTTCAGAAAAAAAAAAAATCCTCCCTAAGAGTCAAATCTCACAATACCTACCATATTACTATCAATTTTTAATCCTTTAACATCTTATTTTATTTTCCTAACTGTTTTGTGAAAAAAAGGAATTTATTGTTGGATTTTTTTTGATTAAAAAACTGAGAAAGCTGTTGAATGCCTCACTACAAAATCATCCACCAATTTTTATAAATTAAAAACGGATTGGATTTTTAATCTCAGATGCACTTGTTGCCATCCATAAGAATTCTCCACATCATGGCACTGCCTCTATTAGAATGTGTCCCCTATGGCCTCTTGGGAGAGACACACTTAGCTTCAGAATAGTGAACATGAGCTCTTTCCCAACTTTATTCTACATAAACATAAACATGGCTTGTGGTTAGGCCACTCTTCAAATTTAAAACAACTGCAATGAAAGAATTTGTTGTTCTTTTGTTAAAGTAAAAAATAATTACACAGATATTGCATCTAAATATACTAACAATATACATTAAATCAGTATAAACTTACAAAAAAGTCAGAAACAGAAAATCTTTTACCTGGAAAAGGTAATTTATTGTACTGTACAATAAATCTACTGCATTTACCTACCACTTTTAGTTCAAAAATAGCATCACATTTATTTGATAGAACTTGGAAATGGAATAAACTTACATAAAGTACAAATATTTTATCCAGTTCTTCAGAGCACAATTCTACTGTAAGATATGCTTTATAGCATTACTCTAATTCAATTTTCAATGTCCAACATGATAGCTAAGACCAGTGCCTTTGCAGAATCAGGTGTAACTCTTCTTTCACAAGCAGTTCTTTCAAAACATGAAAGGCAGATTTTTAACTACAATCCACATGAATTCCTATAAATATATAGCAGTGCTCTAATAAGAGCATTCTGCAAATACACAGTGAGATTAAATTAACAACAGAAAAAAAAAAAAAGAGGGCTTCAGTCTATTTGTGTATATTTAGCTTTTTACATAATATTCTGAGAAGTAGGACCCAAAGCTATGTTCATCCACCTGTGTAAATACCTAATGCATTTTTAATCTATGAAAAGTAAGAACACAAGAACAGATATAAAAAGTATATTTAAAGGGAGAGCTATTAGAAGTATTACTGAAAATCAGAATTTATGTTTTAGAGAAACTTTCTGACTACATGAGAAAACGTAGTATTTTACTGATGTGGGTAAAAAATTAAGTTTCAGTTATCAATAATCTTCTGGCACTTCTATACTATGACTCACAGAAATCTTACAGCACTTAATTCTTTCAGCCTACAGAAGTGTGTTGCTTATCTATAAGCATACTAATACACCCACCATAAAATACCTAGTACTTTGCATTTCAAATTTTGATACATCTAACATGCAATAAACACTCAACTGCATTGACAGCTTTGCAACATATCAATACGCTTCACTTGGCTTTCTAATTACTTCAAAATTATAAGGTTAGAATAGAGAAAAGAAGGTCTAAAACATAAGAATAAAAATGAGTTTCAAATACAGCATGTGATAAGATAAATTGTACAAAATTATAGGGGGGGGGCGCAAAAATACATATATTGAACAAGAAATTATTGCACAAAACCAAAATAAAGATTCTTTCTTTTTATACTGTATCATCCAAATACGTTTAATTCCATAGTGAGTGCAAGCTGTAAGAAAATAACATGAAGTAAGCAGAAATACATTATAGTGTAAATGGAAGACTACACAGTAGGAACACTACAAAATACTGCTGAAATACTGAAAGGTAATCATAATAAAAATTATTTTTAATGGAATGATCCTGTTTTGCACTCTTATGATACAAAAATAAGCTCATAGTGGTATAACTAAAGCTTCTTATTCATGTGAGAAATACTAAAGGTGGGTTTCATCTTACTTTCATCTAAGCACTCAGAACATAGGCATCTACATTCCCTCTGCAAAACATGGAGACAAGCACTTCTGGAATTTAATTCCTCCTCCCTTGTCTGTACACATCTGTTGAACCAGAGTAATTTTTTTCTTGACTACAATGGTAAATTACCTAAAGCTTTCATACTTTCAATTTTCGTAGAATCATAGAATGCATTGGGCTGGAAGGGACCCCCAAAGGTCATTCTAGTCCAACCCCCCTGCAGTGAGCAGGGACATCTTTAGCTAGATCAGGCTTCCCAGAGCCCATCAAGCCTGGTCTTGAATGTCTCCCGGGACAGGGCCTCCACCATGCCTCTGGGCAAACTGTTCCAGTGCTTTACCACCCTCATGGTAAAGAACTTCTTCCTAATATTCAATCTAAATCTACCTGTTTCTAGTTTAAAACCATTGCCCCTCGTAATGTAAGATGGTCCCTGATCTAGTCTGGGGACTGATTTTTAGGAACTAGTGGCATCAGTGGCAGTGGACCGACCAACTCTAGTTCTCAAATAAGCTTTGTTGCAGGACACAAATTATAGTACTCTCTTAAGAATGTGTTAGCTGAAGGCTTCAAGATAAAGAGAAAGTGGAGGCACATCAGAGGAAGCAAGTCACACAATGTGTATAAATGTGGACATTTATAGTCACAGGAAAAAGTTTTCAAGGGTTTAAAAAATCTATTAAAAAATATAGCCAAAAAATATACCAGCCTCTGCTACAAGACGTTACTCTGAGGAGAACTTTTAAAGCTAATATTTTTAAAACATAGCTATTTAGAAATGTTTGGGAAGATAAGCAAGAGATAATTAAGTTATCTGAAATCTATGTGATCTTTAAGTTCACAAGGAGGTACTGTATTATTAACTAAAAGTCAGAGCCTGTCCTGTGATATGCATCTAAAATAAATATACACTACAAAATAAATTTATACTACAAAATACATCTATACAACCAAACATCTTGTTACGGAATCGAACAAGAAGACAAAGTGCTGAGGTGTGGGAATGATGGTTTCTTTAAACTGATTGCAAGAGCACTTCATTCAACAGTCCCCAATCCCATATCATGCAAGGAACACAGTGTTTGGAGAGGCTCCATAACAGATTTTTCTTCAGCCATAGTATTTGCTAAATAATTTGGAATGAATCATTCACATTTTCTTAGTATCTGTTTGTCTATTTGAAATTGTAACGCTTATTTACATTATAAGATATGTTGCGAGGGTCAGTGTTTAAATAATGCTTTGAGATGCTCAACAGGAAACATAGTAAGTGCAGAGCACTATGCCAATGTACACTACACTGGGTTAATACAGAATGCATAACATGTAAGGGAATGTACTGAAAAGTGAGCACAGAAAATATTCGTAATGGACAAACTAACACATTTTGGTTCCACAGGTATTTCTTTGAAGGAAATAACAGTTGAGAAATTCTGCATTGTTCAGTGTTCAGTAGATCACTAAATCACACTTCCATCTGCAGACTGTAGTGATCTAATGTTATCAAACTGAGACGTAAAATAAAATATCCTGGACTACCGGCTGACAAATACCAGTAAATGGTTTTACTTCTATAGTTCATGTGGTTTTCTCTCTATAACTATATTTTCTCCTTTCTGACATTATGATTCCATACAATTAAAAAACCAAAAAGTTATCTGAATTTCCCTTTTCCTGGAGCCAAGTATCACAGACAACTAGAACTATA